TTGGTCACCAGGATAGCACTATTGGGAGGTGGTAGAGCCTTTAGGATGTGGGGCCTTGTGGGAGGTTCTTAGGTCAGGATATGTGCCCTGAAAGGGGATTGTGGGCCCTGGTCACTTCCTCTTTCTCTCTTTTGCCTTCTGAATCATGAAGTGAACAATTTGCTCTGCTACGTGCTTCTGTCATGATGTGCTGTCTTCACCAGTGGCCCAAAGCAATGGAGCTACTCAATCTTGTATTAGAACCTCCAGAACCTTGAACTAAAATAAACCTTTCTCTTTATCAGTTAATTACCTTAGGCATTCATTATAGTAATGGAAAGCAGATTAAAAACCATTTAAACCATAGCACTGGATAATAAATATAAATCCTTTCAATTCAAGGGCAAGGTCAAATGGGAATCTAGATTTCTATCCATCATGGCTCATCTTTGTTTTGTAACCTCATGAAAGCCTTTAGGACATCTAAATAAAGTGTTGTGACTTGGATCTTCCTTACCTGTGCTCTTGTCTGTTACCTCAAAGAACTCCAATTAGTCAATCAAAGCCTGATTTCTTTCCACATACATTATGCTTCCTTTTCCCCTCATATTACTAGATTTGCTAAAGCATTCAATAAGTCACTGTTTTATTTCATTGTCTGGACTGAAATTCTCTCCTTCTCTGGACGAAATTCACCACTACCAGTTACCCTGGACCTCTCCCAGCCATAGCTGCTACTAACAATTCCTTAAACATCATGATCACTTGACTGCTAATGATATGTCTAACTCGAACAAGCCAATGTTGGTCAAAGAATCCAATTCATCTATGACAATTTTGGGATGGAATCTCAGTAAATCAAAGAATCTCAATGTTGAAAGGGATACTCAGCTCATTCAGTCAACCCCCAAGCTTCCAACTTTGAAAATATTGAGGCTACTTCTTTCATATTTCCTTTTCATCTCTGAGCATGAATTTTGAATCTTAATCATTAAATGTTACCATGAATTCTCTGTCTTCCTTCTTTGGTAATGTTAAAGAATTTTAATCCTAACTTTGGACGTGCTTGAAGATGCTTTTCAATTTCTTTTTACCACCTCATTTCTAGTAAGTAAAAGTTTATTTTCTAATAGAATTTGCAGAATACAACTATAAACTATGTGAAGCAATGATACAACTGAATGGAGAAACATACAATACACAATTCTATTTTGAGATTTCAACACCCCTCTCTCAATACTTGATAGAACAACTGGACAGAATGGATACAGAAATGATCATTTTGCACCTACATGAAGAACTGACTTAAATTCTGGAAATACTCTTTGGACTTTTAGAAATACTTGTTAATTTACTAGCTGTTGCCTGAAGGTCATCTTTACTTCTAAAAACTCTCACAAATTTGATTTTTTTCTTATTCTTTGAAATATAAGCAATATTCTCAGTGCCTTGTATTTATTCATCCATTCAGTCATTCAATAAATATTTATTAACACCTACTATAATCAAGACATTGAAGTCAGCATTACATTTTTAAAAAACATTTAATAATTAAATTCTAAACAAGAGGAGCTATTTATCAATAATATAGTATGAATAAAATAAACTTTAAAAGCTGTAGGATTATATTATTCTGACTGACTGCCATAAAAAAATACCATAAATTAGGTGGGATAAACATCAGGAACTTATTTTCTCACAGTTCTGAAGAGAAAGTCCAGATAAAGTTTCCAGTCAGGCAAATATTTGGTAAGGGCTCTCTCTTTGGTTTGTATGTGGCCACCTTCTCACTACAACCTCACATGTCCTTCCCTCTGAGCACATGTGGAGAGTGAGGTCTCTTCTTTTTATAAAACCATTAATCCTATTGGATTAGAGCTTCAAATTTATGATTACATTTAATCTTAATTACCTCCTAAATACTCTATTCCAAAACAGTCACATTGAAGGTTAGAGCCTCAACATATGAATTTAGGGGAGGACACAAACCAGTCCCTAACAAGGACCATTTTAAAAAACATCCTTTACTCCTGTCAGAAGCTCTTCTCTAAAGAGAACCACGGAATTAGAGTCCTCACCAGTACCCCTTGTGACTGGTAAAGAATAAGTACTGGTGAAGTAAAGAGTAAGTATTGGTGAAAGTAAGAACAACAATCCAGAGAACATGACTTGCTTGAGGTCACAGAGTAAGTGGGAACAGAGGCAATAGCAGGAACCACTGGTTCAGCCCAGGTTAGCCCAGTACACTGCCCTCTTGATATGGCCTTGGATCCGAAAGTTCCTGTTGTACAGCATCCGTACAATGAGGCTAAGCCTCTGGCTTTAGCAGGAGGCGTTTCTACCCTGTACTCCATGGGCTCCTGCTGTTCATCTTATCCCAAATCCCCCTCCTCACTTTCACATCAGAGGTCCAGACCAAAATCTCCTGCCTGAGGATGCAAAGCTAGATTCCTTTTATGAGTACTTAGATTATCAGAACTACTTTGGGGTCATAAACAGTCTGAATATAAACTCTACAATTGACTGCCATCAGATCCAACAGATAAATTATTCCTCTCCCTATACATCTACCATTTGAAGGGAACCATTTTTTGCATTAGAGAAAGTTCATCAAGGCCATTGCTTCACCTGGGATGTGAACCTACTGAAGGCAGGCTTCCCACATCATCACATGGTTGCCTTTTCATCCTCCACCTGAAGCTTTCTCTTTACATGACTTGAGGGCTGTGTACTAACATAGGACCTTGAAAAACTAACCAGAAGACCTAGCCAACTGATCAGTCCCTCTGGTTCAATCTGTCACTCACAAAAGAACCTCTTCTCTGCAGGCCAGGACTTTATTTCTATCCACAACAGGTATTTTAACTTCAGGCAGATCTCGAAGGCAGTGTTAAACTTGTATTATTTAAATGTCCCTGCTATTTGGTAACTGGCATTGTTATTTCCATATCTGTCCCCAAATGCCACAATTTAGTTAATTGATTGCCTGGTTGGTTTGTGACTTGGTTGGTTGATTGAGTGAATTTTTCTATGTATGATGCTTGATTCAGCAATACAATAAATATAGAATCTCTGAGTTGACCATGCTGATTCTTAAAGTCTAGCTATACATTAAAAGAGATTTTATAAAATATACCTAAGCCTTATCTTCATAGATTCTGATTTAATTTGATCTTGGTTTCAAAGGCTCTTCAGGTGATTCCCATGGGTAACCAAGGTTGATAATCTCTGGTTAGAGCTAAAAGGTTGCCCAGGTAGCCATTGATCTGATACTTAAATCTCTTCCATTGGGAATCTAAAATAATGACTTTGATGGGTGGGGGGATAATCTCAGGGCCTTATGCTTGCTAGGCAGTCACTCTACTACTTGAACCATGCCCCGTATCTCTTCCACTTTACTTATTTTCTAGATAGGGTCTCACATTTTGTTTTGTTTTTTGTTTTGGGGGTTTTTTTTGGCCAGGGATTG